TTTCTCAACATCGCACAAATCCAAGACTTTCTCATTTTTTATGAGAATGTAAAAATACAATAAATGTAATTTTCCGAAATTTTTTATTAATTACAAATTAATAAATTGTACCTTAAAAGAAAATATTTAGCAATTTTAATTTTCAATCATTTTAAAAAATTATTTTAATAAATATATCAAAATTGAAAAAATAAAAAATTTATCAAAATCTTTTTTTTTAAATTTGACATGTTTATATTATGTACATTTCTCATAAATAAGAATCCCTTTCCCGTGTAGAAATTTCCCCATTTGTCCCTATCTCTAGTAGGGACCTCGCTAGATTCTGACTAGAATCTCTAGTCTAGAAAAACTAGTCGGGCTTCAATCAAATTCTAGTTAGATAATTCAGACTGGAAAAAACTCACTAGGACCTTATCGATTTCAAACTAGACAAACTAGTGTACAAGTATGACATACATAAATTATCTTTCTATAGATATAAATAATTCAGATTAATAGATAGAAAAACTTACTAGCATTATTTATTAAAAAATTTTGCATATTATTTAATTATTTAATTTTTTAACATTTTTTAAACAAAATTTTAAATATTGTAGAATATTTTTACAAAAAATTCCAATAAAGCAATTTTATTAAATAAAAATCTTTTATTTAATATGTAAATTAAAAGAATAAAACATAAATAAATATTAATTATGTGGGTATAACTAATTTTTATTACCTAAATATTGTAATATTATTCGTAAAAATAATTTTTTTTTAAAAAGATATGTATGTGCAATTATACTTTAAAATGTTTTTCACAATTAATGCAAGTATTTAATAATAATTAAAAAGATGCTATAATATTATAATTACAATAATAAATTGAATAATATAATTATAATAATTATAGTAAATATAAAAAGCACTGCAATTAGTAATGTTTAATTTTTCAATAATGTCATAATTAATTATTATTAACTATCATTAGGAATGCAGAGTTAAATAAGAGTGATGAATAATAACTCCCTAAAATTCAAAATATTATGAATTAATTATATCTATAACGTTATTGAAAAATTAAACATAACTAATTTATTACATTACTTTTTATATTTTTATATTTACTATAATTGTTTTAATAAATAATAATAATAATAAATAATATAATAATAAATAATATATTACAATATTTAGTTAATAAAAATTAATTATATCCACATAATTAATATTTATTTATGGTTTATTCTTTTTTAATTTACTTAATAAATAAAAGATTTTGTTTAAATAATTAAAAAATTAAGTAATCAAATAATATGCAAACTTTTTTAATAAATAATGCTTGTAAGAATCATCTAACTAGAATTAGATTGGAACCCGACTAGTTTTTCTCGACTAGAGATTCTAGTCAGAATCTAGCGAGAGCCCTACTAGAGATAGGGACAAATGGCGGAATTTCCAAACGGGATGTACTTTAAGCGGAAGTCCATCCAACCTATCATGGCCGAGAGGTATGTGTATCCGTCTGGTGTCCCCAAGGTCCAAGGTTCGAACCCTCATAGGCACGAGATTTTTCGTGTGCAACAATCATTAATAATGTTAATATGAATGGAGAATTCAATTATAAATAAGTTAAGTTGAAAAATAATAATTTTTAAAACCGGTAGAAGTGAACTAGAACTTCTAGTCGGGGCCCTATCAACTAGAGCGTGACAAAATCGAGTAGAACCCCATCAGTTTCTCTAGTTGGAGCCCTTTTTCAAATGGGGTAAACTGGTGAGGTCCCCACTAGAACCCGACCACCATTTCTACACGGGTATTTATGTTTCTTATATTTAACTTTCATTATTGCAAAATATCGTTTAAATTACTTGACAAATTGAATTACTAATTCCTAGTTTTTTGATGTTGTTAGTCTTTTACGTATAGGCAACCTTCACAAAATTTCTGGACACTTTCTTCCACAAGTCACATTCAGCTCTCAATTTTTATGGTGGAAATAAGATTGTGGCTTATAAAAACATCATATCGAAACAAAATAAATTTTAATTAGGTAATTCTTTATTTATTTTCGCTTTACGGTAAAGAGCTCTTTTTTTGAGAAAGTGTCAAATTATTTTTTAAAAATTGACAAAGTAAAAAGTTTCATAAAAATCAGTCGAAAGTGTTGGATAATTTAAAAAGAAAGAATAAAAGCAGATACTTATAGAGAAAAGGGCTCTTTATTAAAATTCTATATATGAAATAAGGATTTAAGTAAAAATCTGTTTGTAATAATATACGATGTTTCTACGAGCGTCAATATTATTTTCACTATAGCCAGGGCTGCAATAATTTAAATCAACTTGATTTAAATCATGATTTTAATCTTGATTTAAATCTTGTCATTAAAATCATGATTTAAATCAAACTGCAAAATGCATTAGAAACAGAAAAGTTTGCAAAATTAGTATTTTGGTTTAAAGTTTTGAATTCATAAAAATAAAAAAGAATACATTACAGAGATAATAAAGTAAACATAATAATTATTAGTTTTGTTTATTTGACTCAAATTACAGAATAACTGGAAATCAGAGAATTTTTTTGTTCAGGGAAAAGTCAGGGAATTTAAATCGAAAAAAACCACAAATTAAAAAACTTTGATAAAAGTCAATTTAGTTTTTGTATAATATTTGATAAACGGGCATTGGCGGTTTATATTTAAATAAATAAATATAACTTTTTGAGCACGATTTAAATTGTAAATTTTCATTAACTTTTTTTCATAATAAAAGTTTTAAACACATTAAAATTTTTTTTTAACAAACAATTTTGAATTATCTTATGTTTTTCTTTCTAAATAAAATTGTTACTTAAAAAGCATTATAAAATTTTTAATTATCAATGCAGAATATTAAATAATTAAAAAATTTATTAATCAGGGAAACCGAAAAATTAGTCAGGAAATGTCAGAGAATTCTTAAAATAAAATTTTCCATCCACCCTATTATTATTAATTTTATAATTTTTAATATTAAAAAACAAACTACTTATAAAATAATTAAATATTTAAAATATTTAAAAAAATGATTTAAATAAAAAAAATGAATTTTTTAAAAAAGTCATGATTTTTATCAGCCCTGCACTATACAAATAATTGACAGCTTTGATGTCGGAAATAAACTTATATGACCTGGTCGCCTATAGAAAGGGATTTTAAAATAGTAGAATAAGTAATTATTGTTTTATAATAGAAAATTTATTAGCTCCAAATTTCTTTTAATATCTCATATAATTGAGGAATAAAAAAACATAATTAAATTAATTATTTTGATACAAAGGAATAAAATAAATAAATTTTTATAGACAAGAAAACATGATTAAAGATAATTTAACAAATATATAAGGTAAAAATTAATACTTTTTTATGATTTTGTAATTAATAATTAATTTTTGATTTTATATAATTTTCCAATTACTAATTAACTAATTTTCCAAAATAATACAAAAATATTGAATAAATTTTAGAAATAATTTAATTTTTTCAAAATTCTGTATATTTGTCATTTTTAATATTTTTATTAATTATACAATTTATTAAATTGTACCTCTAGAGGTACTAATTAGCAATTTTAATTTTTAATCATTTTAAAAAATTATTTTCATGAATAACAAAATTAAAAAATTTTTTTTTTCATATTTTTCGTTTTAATTTAACATATTTTATATTATGTATATTTTTATAAACAAAAATCCCTTTATTTATATTCATTCTATTAGTTTTTATTACTGCAAAATATTATTTTTATAATTTTCAACAAAATAAAACTTACTGCCCTGTTTTATGATACTGTTATGCCTTTACGTAGGCAACCCCGCCTTACTCCACCTTTCGGTGCGGACATTTTTTTCTCAAATCAAGTCATCTACATCAGTAAATTGTCATCGTAATAATCATATTGTGGCTCGTAGAAACATCGTATCGAGACAAAGTAAATTTTTACTAATTCTTTATTTAATTTCATTTTAAGATAAAGAGCCCTTTTTTTGAGAAAGTGTCAAATTATTTTATAAAAAATTGTCAAAGTAAAAAGTTTTGTATGAAGCAGTTGAAAGTGTTGGATAATTTAAATGGAAAGAGAAAAAGCAGAAACTTATAAAAAAAGGAGGCTTTTTATTGTGATTATATATGAAATAACGATTTAAGAAAAAATTTGTTTTTAATAATACGATTTTTCAACGAGCGTCAATATTGTTTTCGCTATACAAATTGACAGTTTCAACATAAAAAATAAACTTATAAATTGGTCGCCTATTGAAAGGGGCTTCAAAATAGTAGAATAAGTAATTATTGTTTTAGAATAGAAAATTTATTAGCGATAAATTTCTTTTATTATCTTATATAATTGAGGAATAAAAAAACATAATTACATTAATTATTTTTATACAAAGGATTAAAATAAATAAATTTTTATAGACTAGAAAACATGATAACTAATAATGTAACCAATATATAAGGAAAAAAATAATACATATTTTTACGGTTTTTTAATTAATAAATAATTTTTAATTTTATATAATTTTCCAATTACTAATTAATTAATTTTTACATATAATAATACAAAAAAATTCAATTTTTAGGTATAAATAATTTAATTTTTCAAAATTCTGTATATTTGTCATTTTTATTATTTTCATTAATTACAATTCAATAAATTGTACCTCTAGGGGTACTAATTAGCAATTTTTATTTTTAATCTCTTTAAAAAATTATTTTAATGAATAACAAAATTTAAAAAAAATGTTTTTCATATTTTTCGTTTTAATTCAACATATTTTATATTATGTATATTATTATAAACAAAACCCCATTTATTTATATTAATTATATTAGTTTTTATTACTGCAAAATGTTATTTTTATAATTTTCAACAAAATAAAACTTACTGCCCTGTATTATGATACTGTTATGCCTTTACGTAGGCAACCCCGCTTTACTCCACCTTCTGTTGTGCGGCCATTTTTTTCCCCATATCAAGCCAACTACATCTGTAAATTGTCATCGTAATAACCATATTGTGGCTAGTAGAAACATCGTATCGAGACAAAGTAAATTTTTACTAATTCTTTATTTAATTTTATTTTAAGGTAAAGAGCCCTTTTTTTGATTAAGTTCTTTGTTTTTTTTTAAAAAGTGATCAAAGTGGAAAATTACACGAAACATACTGGACAGTGGGGGAGAGTGGGTTGGCAACACTTGACAGTTCCCGACCTCCAACGCCGTTAATACCAAAAGTTTTAAAAAAGTAGTTTTCGACACAGAACTTCCTGCAAGTTAAGTGATTTTATTCCGAACCTCAAGAAATGTAAATATTTTATTTCTTTAAATATTTACTTTGATAATTAACAAAATTAAAAAAAAACATTTTAATTGTTACATAGAAAATAATCAATTGCTTTTATCAGAAAAGTACAAAAAATTCGATAAAAGCGTTTGAAAACTTTTCCTTATTTTTCCATTTTTATTAGATTTAATTAACTACATTTTTAGTAATTAATAAAACTGAAGCATATATCATCTAAAAATTTATTGTTATACACAGTTTGTTTTGACAGGGCGTGTGGACATGAACTATAGACAAATAAGAATGGATCCCATGTGAAGCAGAAAATCATTATGGGGAATCCACACTTCGATCTAAGATGCATATAAGCGGGACCATCAGGGTACGGTCCCATGTTGAGCAGAAAACACAATGAAAAGCAGAATTTCGTGAGAGTGGAAAGGATAGTGATATCTGACTATCTCTCTTGCACTCACGAAATTCTGCTTTGCATTCTGTTTTCTGCTCAGAATGGGACCGTACCCTGAAGGGGTATTCTATACCTCCGGTGGATTGGTCAAGCAATCGGCTCGATGAATTTTCACGGTCGGAAAATGTACTTTCATTGCGGGTATTTTTGAATAAGTAAATGTTGAAAAGGTTTTTACTTGCAAATTTATTTAAAAAAATGATTTTATCATAGAAATTCTTTTGAAAGTAATGTTAAAAAACATGTTTTATTTTAAAAGTTATCAAATTTTAATTCAAAATGTTTTAATTTTCCAAAGAAGTGTAAAAAGCCTAATGTTTTTGAAATGCTAGTACATACGGTACAGACTGTTTGTTATGAATGTACATAACCTAGCGTTGTGTTGTCTGTTCATTATTATTTAATATAATAATAATTAAATCATTAAATTTAGAATATAATAATATCACAAGCACGACAACACAACGCTAGGTTATGTACATTCATAACAAACAGTCTGTACCGTCTGTACTAGCATTTCAAAAACATTAGGCTTTTTACACTTCTTTGGAAAATTAAAACATTTTGAATTAAAATTTGATAACTTTTAAAATAAAACATGTTTTTTAACATTACTTTCAAAAGAATTTCTATGATAAAATCATTTTTTTAAATAAATTTGCAAGTAAAGCAGAAATCGTGCGATAGAAAGAGATGAACAGATATCAGGTTCTCACTCACTCACATGGTTTACGCTTTACGCCGACGCTTTCACGCCATCATGGGACGGTACCTTTAGGCTTTTTTCCTACATCGAGATATTTCGAGTTCGAGTATGACGTCAGAAAGCTGGAGGGAAAACAAACAGACGACCCAATGTAATTCTTATGGGAGGGAAAAATTTTGATACATTTTTTCAATGCTTTGCAGATTTTATAAATTTTAAACACTTTATATTTACATATATGGAATTTAAATGAATTCTATAAAATAATAATTGTAGTGGAATTAACACTTTACACTTCACAGGAACTTGAAAATATGCTAAAATGTATGTTTTTGAGGTTAGAAACGTTTGTTTACAACTATTTTATACATAGAGATAAGTGGTAAGCAGACGTTCCTAACCTTAAAAACATACATTTTAGCATATTTTCAAGTTTCTGTGAAGTGTAAAGTATTAATTTCACTACAATTATTTTACAGAATTCGTTTCAATTACATATATGTAGATAGAAAGTGTTTAAAATCCATTAAATTTTCAAAATATTGAAAAGAAAATGCCAAATTTATTTCTCCCATAAGAATTGCATTGCGTCGTCTGTTTGTTTTCCCTCCAGCTATCTGACGTCACACCTGAAATCGACTCTGACGTCACAACTGAAAAAGCCTAAAGGCCAACGCAGAATAGATCTGTAACCGGAACCGCAATCGTAAGCGTAACCGTAAGAATGAGTTAAAGAAGGATAGGTATATTGTTTATCCTTCTCTAACTCATTCTTACGCTTACGGTTACGATTGCGGTTCCGGTTACAGATCTATTCTGCGTTGGCCTTTATGAGGTCTGTTCTCGTTGCCTGCTTTTTCTTATGGCACGGTCACACCTCGGCTCCCTGCCTGCGCAGGTAGACGCCACGAGAGTAAGAGAAAGAGAACAAATAATTTGAATTGTCTGTCTTTTTCACTCTTATGTGTTATCATGACGATCTGCAGGCAAGCAGGCAGCCGAACTGTGGCCGTGCCATTACATGAGATAGAAAAGGGCGCAAAAATATATATCTGTCCTTTTCTAACACATACTAAGCGTTTGTGAACGACGTTCGCAAAGCAGTTGTGCTTAGGCCTTTACATTTCCTGCACTAGATGGGACTGCACCATAAGTCAGAGGAGTTCCCCATGCAATTTGATTAGACGAATTTTTATGGTGCTATTACTAAATTTGATTGGTTGTGATAATTAATCCATTTTTACTGACTCTGAAGTGAAAATGGAAGATTTCTCGTAGCCAATCAAATTTAATGATACGACCATGAAAATTCGTCGAGATTTAATCAATTTAGAACATGACTATTTGAACTACGGGGACTAAAAGGCCAATAACCAAATCAAACAAAATTGCTTGACCAAAATACCGGAGTTCCCCGTTTCTGAGTATATTCAGAAACGTGAAGCAGTTTTCTAAGTTGAAAACGAGTTTTCTATCTTGGAAGCCATTGGAAGTCATGCTAGAAAATTATTATTATGGCGGGATTATTTGAATGTCATATTTTCTACCAATCACAATTTATTACAATCTGACATTCAAATCATCCCGCCATAATAATAATTTTCTAGCACGACTTCCAATGGCTTCCAAGATAGAAAACTCGTTTTCAACTTAGAAAACTGCTTCACGTTTCTGAATATATTCATAAACGGGGAGTTAAACAAGCGCCTTAAAGAAGAATCCAAATAAGGGTGCGATCCCATGTGAGCAGAATACGTCGACCAAAAGCAGAAAATCATGAGAGTGAAAAAAACAACAATATCTATATATCTCTTTTGCACTCATGATTTTCTGCTTTAGGTCGACATATTCTGTTCACATGGGATCTCACCCTTCCTTCCCGGGACCCAGTTTGATGTGCAGAGACTGAGCATGGCACAAGATATTATTATTATATTATATACTATTATTGTTATTGCCCTACATATACTTTTAACCTTGTTACACTCACTGATCAACGCAAAACACAGCTTTTGAAAGTAAACATGTTAATACATCCTCATATTTAGCACCATATTGTGCTTTCTTTTATTCTAACGATGCTCATCTATTAGTGGGGGTCTAACAAATTAACTATTAAAAACTTTCATGTTCTTGTTAGGTTGGATCTACATGTCAACGAAAAAATAAAAAACACGATGCGCAAACGCGAGACAAATCTAACACATCATCGAAACTTTTCTAAAAGTTGAAATTACCTTGAATGCAATGTTCGGAATCTTTAACTTTGGCTGCTTCGCAAAATAAACATTGTAACGACTCATTCACCCAAGATTAACAACCTCTCGATACGTTTCGTATTCTTTTTATTGGAGTGTCTTTGAGTCGGTAGTGTTTGTTGTGTTGTAAGAAGATTCCAGAAAGAAATGAATGTGACATGTCTGCTGATTTATGCGGTAAGTTTATTTTAATTCCTTTCTTATTAAAAACAGATATACGAACACAATACGCCGCCATGGGACTCCACCCCAGTAAAAAAAGAAGTATTGAGTGGAGCGTTTAGGAATTGAGTGAAGCTCTGAGCCAATACGGATTCGAGTAAAAACCGTATTGGGACGTTTGACTCAATCTTTTTTTCATCCGCCGAATACGGTCTTATTTTAGCATTAAAATTAAAATCACATGAGCAGAGTACACATTATAAATTGAAAGCACAGTTATCCTGGAATGTAAAAATGCCGATTTCGATAAGAAACAGTGAATATTTTTTTATTCTTTGTTAAAAATTGGTAAAAGCAAAATTTGATAAGCGCAACTGAATTTACCATGTGAATAAATGAAGTGGTAAGTTTAAATGGACTAAAAGAAATCTACTGTTACCGACAGAAAGTTCCTAGAGAATTGTAAAACAATGAAATTTCATTGTTTTGTTGAATTTACCACAATTCTCTAGGAACTTTCTGTCGGTAAAAGTAGATTTCTTTTAGTCCATTTAAACTTCCCACTTCATTTATTCACATGGTAAATTCAGTCGTGCTTGTCAAACTTTGCTTTTACCAATTTTTAACAAATATTCACTGTTTCTTATCGAAATAGGCATTTTTACATTCCAGGACAATTGTGCTTTCAATTTATAATGTGTACTCTGCTCATGTGATTTTAATTTTAATGCTAAAATAAGACCGTATTCGGCGGATGAAAAAAAGATTGAGTCAACGTCCCAATACGGTTTTTACTCGAATCCGTATTGGCTCAGAGCTTCACTCAATTCCTAAACGCTCCACTCAATACTTCTTTTTTTACTGGGACCCTCACTGCAGGTTTTTGACATAAAATACCTGGTCAAAATATGGGATATTTTACTGAATAAAACCACGTAATTTACCTGATATATTTTACGCGCCCAACCCTGCGTTATGTTTATTTTATTTATTTATATTTATTCATCCAGTCGATGGTTTGACCAAAACACCAGAGGTATAGAAGCACCTTTATTATAGGTCTACCGAGATTTGCGAGAATTTTCTTGTAGAAGTACCATACAGCCATCACCTATGAGGCCGCAGTCCCATGACAGCGTTTTGCGTTGCGTCGTAATGGGAGAGAAAAAGACGCAAATATACGTTTGCTGCATTCACTCTTATTACAACGTAACGCAAAACGCTGCCATGGGACTCCAGCCTTATGCTGATTCCACACTTACCCAATCGCTCCGCTTTTCCGTGGCGCTTCGCGTGAGACAGAAAAAGATAGAGATAGTCTATGTCTTTTTCTATCTCACGCAAAGC